CACACACACACACACACACACACACACACACACAAAAAAAAAACATGATTGTTATCTTTTTGTGATTTTATTTTGGAATGGAAAAAACAACAAACAAATACACAGATTCTGTCTGATATGTACTGTTAATTACACTGTTACAGAAATTAGTCAAGATTTTCTTTACACCTATCTAACCAAACACTCTCTGTTTATGCTGAGGACAATGTCTTCTTTGGTGTTTCTGATTTGTGGGGTGCCTCAGGCCTGTATACTCGTGTTTTTTCTTTGAAATATTCTTCCTTTGGGCCCTTTGATACAACAGTTTAGGTGTATATCTTATCAATGTTATGCTGATGATAGTCAACTTTATCTATCTTTAAAGCCTGGTGATTTTATTGGATGTAGCTGTTCTCCATACCTGCCTAGTTATCTAAATTTTCTTCCTCKGAATCACAGTAAAGACTATATAAGGACAACAACACAAGTAATCCCTCAGGCTTATTATTTTTAAACTGAGCATCATTTATCTCTGAGTTTTGACAATGTCTATTAACTAAACATGCAACAAAGCAAGCTATTTTATCTTATGTATGTTGTTTTTCTTCTCTAGGAATGTCTAGAATTCTTCAACATTCCCGAGGCTAGATCAGCACATTTCTTTCTTATGGACAAAAGATGGAACCTCATCCATTACAACAAGGTAGAGTTGGTATTTGTTGAACTACTAAAGTTGAGTTACTAAAATTAGACTTTTTTGGCAAAAATGTCCAATCCCAATTCTAATTAAGTTGGAACGTTGTGTAAAACATAAATAAAAACAGAATACCATGATCTGCAAATMCTTTTCAACCTATRTTGGATTGAATACACTACAAAGACACAATATTTAATGTTGAAATGGTGAAAATTTATTGGCCTTTGTAAATATTCCCTCATATTGAATTTGAGGCCTGCAACAYGTTCCAAAAGAAGCTGGAACAGGGGCATCAAAACACTGTGAAGGTTGAGGAAAGCTCAAAAACACCTGTTTGGAGCACTCCACAGGTGAACAGGTTATTTTGAAACAGGTTTGTGTCATGATTGGGTATAAAGGGAGCATCCCCAAAAGGCTCAGTATCACTTTGTGAACAACTGTGTGAGCAAATAGTCCAAAAGTTTAAGAASAAAGTTTCTCAATGYACAACTGCAARGTATTTAGGGATTTCATAATTTTTGGTCCATAATATGATAAATGGTAAAWGGGYTGTACATWTAGCWTCTTTCTRTCCAACCAGGACACTCAAAGCACTTCACACTACAATCTGTGCCCTCATTCACCCATTCACACAGCAYTCTATTAGGTCTCTACAAAGCTAACATGTACAATCATCTATGGAGACTAATCAGTGCCAGTCACATTCATACACTGATGGGACACACATCAGAGGCATTAGGGGTGAAGTATCTTGCCCAAGGACACAACTGAGACAGCTGTAATGGGGGRYCTAACTGGCAACCTACWGGTTCCAGGACGACTCCCCTAACCACTCTGCCACAGCCGCCCACAATGTTCATCAAATATCATCAAAAGATTCAGAGAATCTGGACAAATCACTGYAAGTAAGAGACAAGGCMGAAAACCARCATTCAWTGCCCRTAACCTTTGATCCCTCAGRCATTAAAAACAATCATTCTGTAACAAATATTAGCACATGGGCTYAGGAACACTTCAGAAAACCATTGTCTGTGAACACAGTTCGTCTCTACATCTTCAAGTGAAAGTTAAAACTCTACCATGCAAAACCAAAGCTGTATATCAAAATCCAGCAACACCACCAGCTTCTCTGGGCCCGAGCTCATCTGAGATGGACTGACGCAAAGTGGAGAAGTGTCCTGTGGTCTGATGAGTTCCACATTTCAAATTGTTTTAGAAATCATGAATGTCATATCCTCTGGGTCAAAGAGGAAAAGGACTGGTCTGGATTGTTATCGGCAAAAAGTTCAAAAGCCAACATCTCCGATGGTATGGGGCTGCATTAGTGCCCATCGCAGGGGTAACTTGCACATCAGTACTCAAATGCTTATTGAGTATTGTTAAAAGGTAAGATGATTTAACACAGTGGTAACATGCCCCTCTCCCAGCTTTTTTGGAACCTGTTTCAGGCATCAAATTCACAATGAGGGAATATTTGAAAACAAAGTTTATCTGATTTGATTTGATTTATTTATTTAACAGGAAAAGATTATTAAAAATCAAGCCTGACTCAGCATAATTGCTGTTTTACAGCAGGTTCCTGTTCTGCAGCACATAAAAC